CACCCGTGTGTGCGAGAGAGAAAGAGAAAGAGGGAGAGAAAGAGAGATAGGGGCTTGAGAAACACTACCTCGGGCCATGGCCTAATGAGCTTCCTGCGCCCTCTTGCACTCTCTCTCTCTCTCTCTCTCTGCGAGGAGCATATACTTTTCGCGATTATTCAGAGGAGCAGAGCTTGCGAGATAGAGAGAGAGGCAGAGAGGAAGATCCCGGAGGCCGCGGAAGCGCTTCGAATAAAAAGGGCCAGCGCGAGGGAGCGCTACCGCATTTTGCAACTCCACTCTTCAGCCCCCGTCAAGAACGGAGAAGAACTTCAACAATCGGCCTCCTCATTGTCTACTTTCTCTCTTTCCCTCGCCCGTACACACACGTATATAGACGCACACACACAAAGTTAAGCTTTGCTTTTTTACGCCCGACTGTTTTAATAACGCCACGCTTATGTCTGCCGTGCGCTTACCGTCTAGCGTCTCTCTCGCAGTGCTTTCTCTTTTTCTCTCTCTTTCTTTGTCACTCCGCAGCGCGATTCAGACTCGCTATGCCGCTGCAACTAACGCTCTTTCTACTGCTGCTAGCTGCAAGAAGCTCTCCTCCGGTTTTGTGATATAAAAAACATTTATAATAATATATAACGTTCTCTGAACGCGTTAAACTAGGAAGCTCGAGAGCATAGAAAAAAGCCCCAAGGCCTCGGCACGAGGCAGGCAGGCAGTCGAGAAGCTGCTTCGTTATTTTCCTCCACCGAGCTTATCATTTTTTTCGACTGAGCCGGGTTACACGGAGAGAAGCGTTAAAAGTGTAAGTTGCAGTGCGATTGAAGCTGCCGTACTGCTGCTGCACACAGTGCAACACTCGGTACAAAAAGAAAGACTTTAGCAAAATGATGTATACTACGGGCGTAGTACGTACGCGCGAGCAGGAAATAAATGTATTATAAGGACTTGAAGAGAAAAAGATTGCCGTTGTGTGTGCACGCATTTGTGTATGTGCATGCCTATACATGTCGCATATACGAGCAGCTATACTCGCGTTTACGTAATATAATATACGCGCGCGACTCGTTGTTGTAGCTTTCTCTGTCTCTCTTATATTCGTCAGCACTTTTTTACACCGGTTGTGTGTGCCCCGCGTGTTATGGCACCGCCGCCGCGGCAAGCCCGCTGCGTGCGTACAGTGCGCAAAAAAACATATATATAGCTTTGACGAGAGAGAAAGACTCGAGCAAGCGAGCTAGGGCAGTGAAAATACGTCGACGACGACGACGAAAAAAGACAAAACGACAAAGCAGAGAGTGACAGTTTCTTTTTCGCGCATAAAGGTGTGCGTTAGCATGTGCGCGATATACACAGGCGAAGTACGAGCAAAAAAAGAAGAACGAAGGGTCGTTTTTTTTTAAGTTGAACTCGCGCGCGCGCGGGCGAGGTGATAATGATGTGCACACACGGATACTTTTCGGGTGCTGCTAGCGCGTGCGCGCGCCTAGCGACGAAACTTTGTCTCGATAAAACAAAAAGAATAGAGAGATAAAAAGGACGAAAGAAAAAGGGAAAGAGAAAAGACAAATTCGCGTGCGGAGCTCGCTTAAATTGCTCGTGTCAATTTTCCAGCTCGCGCCGCGATAATTGACTCGCGGGGAGCGCTCCGTGAAAAAGAGATATATAAATACGCTATTAGCGGACGAGCTTTGTTAACCGCCGTGAAGCTGAAAAATACGCATTATATTATAGCGTTGAAGCTGAGAAGGGGGGCCAGGGCAAAAGTCAGTGGAGCGACTCGACAGCCGCTGCTGCGGGGGGAATATAATAAAGAGCTTTAAACGATATATCTTTTAAGCTGAGCACGGCACGAGCTTATTTTACGTTTAGAAAAGACAAACAAATATATATATGCCAGACTTAATGTATGCCAAGACGTGCATGTACGATGTAAAGCGCCGTATGCGCTTTTGAACGCGCAACGCAACGCGGGGACAACTTAAAAAGGGCGCCGCGCGCACGGATCTCAACGAGCGAAGTACGTTACAGTATTAATCGCACCTGCAACGGAAACGACCGAAAACAATAAAGCAGCAACAGTATAAGAGAGAGAGAAATGTATATAACAAAACACACACACACATACACAAACTAGGTGTAACGAAATGCACGAGCCCGAGCGCAAAGGAAATAATGTCCTCTGAAGATATGGCGCACGTCGCGTCTAATACTATTATATAGCCTCGTTCGGGCGCGGGGGAGAGAGAGCGGCATAGTAAAATTATGCCGTCAGCGGTTGTGTGTGTAGTAGTCACAGAGAGAGAGAGAGGACTTTTAAGCGCACTGCTGCACGACCGAGGCGTTTCTTCGAGAGAGAGAGAGAGAGCTTACACAAGCTCGCGTCGTTCAACTGTGCCGAGTTGCTGCTGCTGTTGCTCCGCTGTGGCTGTGCCACTTCTACTCGAGCATAAAATTACACGATTTTACGGTCGCAGCTGTTGACTTATATCGCGCTACAGTGCGTGCCTTCAACTCTTCCACCTTCCAGCACAGAACCGAGTCGAGAGAGAAATCTGATACGATTTGTTTATAAGCGACGTGATATGTATGTATAGGTGCACTGGATAGATGCTACATATATATCGTGTACACAAACTACTGACACATTGGAGCTGGGATATCGGATAGCATATATTCCCCCAAAACGAACCGAGTTTCTATATATTTTTTTCATTAACGCCTTGGCTGTATATCGATCGTGTACATATAACGTCCTAAAAGACAATTCAATTTGATCCGTGCGGCTGCAATTTATACGTCACTCTTAATTACCGGCGCGAGCAACAAATAATGTTAACTGTCATTGAAATCGAGCAAAGGGTTATGAGCCGCTAAAAGTCAGCACTTTTTTTCCACTCACACTCACACACCTATTATAAAGCGAAGCTATTTCAAGCATTGCAGTTACCACCAACGTGTCTCCTATATATCGCAAGTTTCCAGCTGCTGCTGCGGCGCACTCTTCTCCGCGGCGATTTTCGGGGGCTTATATACTTCCTTCTTCTCCGTCGGCTAGCGGTGCAAAGGGGGTGAGGGTATAGTATATTATATAGCGTTTGACCATTTTGCGCTGTATATGTATTTTAGGATAAAGTTAGGCCGCACGATAGTCGCATATATAGAGCTCGCTCTCTCACTCTCAAAGAAGCCGCTCCAGCGAATTCTCACGCGCCGGCTTCGCATGTGCAGTGTATAGGAGTAGTGAAAAGCAGCAGGCAAGTTTTCAGCGGCAGCAGCAGCGGCCCCTTTTCGCCACTATACCGTACCTCTAGCCCCCCGCCACCGTAGCCGACAAAGGAAGGGTGGAGCGCGCGGCGCACGCGGAAAGCTCGGGGAAAGAGATATGCTTCTTGCCACGGCCGTTTATGCTATACATATATACCAAAGTATACGCGCACACACGTACAGAATATATACTCGAGATTTGTTTGTTAAAGCTTATTGTTCGGTTGTATGTACGAGCTTTGTGTATATAAATCGAAGGTATGTCTGTGTGTGTGTTAGTGTATAAATGACTGAGCTAGTCGTCGAGATTGAAAACGAGTATTATTTAGCTTTGATAGGATTTTTCGATTACAATACGCGAGAGTCGAGCAGAGGTAGAGTTATAGGGAGCGCTCGCGCGCGACGTTCGCAAAGTTTCGAATTGACAAAGAAAATTATCCTTTTGTCAATTAACGAATTTAATAAATTGGTATGTGCAGTTTACGATCGGGGCTGCACCAACACCAGCAGCAGCAGCCAGCGAAATTCGCGCGATAAAACAGAAATCGGAGAAGTAATCCGATAATTGAAGGTAAACATTGCATTCGCGCGCGCGAACGTCCGCGTGTGCATGGCAATGGAAAACGAGAGCGAGACGAGAGAAAGGCAGAAAGAAAAAGAGATCGAATTTAAAAGCGACAATTGTTTCCTTTCTTCTCTTATTTCTCGGCTGAGCAGCAGCAGCAGCAGCAGCAGCGTACGTACGCGAGAGAATGAAGCTAATCGAATTCTTCATTCGACTACCAATCCCTGGAGTAAAAGAGCGAGAGCTGGGAAGAAGAAAAAAAGGCTCGCACGCGTGTACGTACCTACGTATGTTATCCGTTTGCCGATATTCACCAGCTCTACCAGTTTCTCTCCACCGAGATTATATATTAAAAAGGTTAGCTTGCTCACCTTTGCTCGCCCTCGATATTCAATACTGTACTCGTTAAGGCTTCAAAGTGATTATTATAATGAAATAGTTTCGGATCGGTTGGCTCACGCAGCTCAACTTTTCGGAAACATTTTTCTTTCATACATAACCAGCTCCAGTTTCTTCCTCCCTTTTTTTTCGTTGAACTCGACACGATTGCACGAGTACATTCTGATTCGAGTGGCCGTATTCTCCGAGAGCGCAAGTGTAGGGAATCATAAACTGACTTTTGACGAGTTTGGCCGCAGCAGCAGTAGCAGCAGCAGCAGCAGCAGCAGCAGCAGCAGTGGTGGTGGTGGTATGCCGCGCCACACGTTCGCACACGTACGTATTTATGTGGCGCTGGGGCAGCAAATGAAAACTTAATTCTACTACCTTCCCTTCATACTCTGTATATACCAGCTACGACTCTCTCTCTGCACGAGCTACCAGTTACTACTACTGCTGCTTCTACTACTACTACCTCTACTGGTATACGTTTGGGCTGCATTGGATAGAGAGAGAAAGATATTAGACGCCGGTGTGTATATACACCTTGGAGAATTCAGAGCCTTGGCCCTCCCTCCCCAAAGTTTCGAGTGCAGTTTTCATTGAAGTTTGATTGCGCCAAATTCTCTCGAACGTATAGACGCGAAAGCTTAGGCCCCCTACCGAGCTTGCAGCAGGAGCAGTAGCACCGTCTGCTCGAAGTATTAAGATTGCGCTCTTTATTAACGCAAGGCGCGGGGACTGAACGAACGTAACGTAAAATTTTCTATATACTGTACTTATAATGTATGCTACGTACCAGAGCTTATCAAGCGAATCGGTGCAGGCGTTGCATTGACGCGCATCTGTAACAAAGAAAGAAGAAAAAAGAATGAGTATACTCGTAAATAAACACGCGGCGAATAATCAACACCGCGCGCGCGTGCGACCAAAGTACCTTTTCGCGCGCACAGCTACGTGTTTATGTGTGTACTCGTGACACAGAAAAAAGAAACAGCTAGTAAAAGAGATACGGTCTGGGCAATGATGAATACACCTGTGCGGCGGTCCCCCCGGTCTACAGCCGATCGCGTACAATCGCAACCAGGCACGAACTCTTGCAGCGAGAGACTCTAATGAGTCCTCCTCGTCGAGTCGAAAGCTCGTTGTCGAAAATATAAATGCGGATAGCTACAACGCGACAATGGATGAAAAATTTCTTAATGAGCTTCGGGTGTTGGTAGTGTTGAGGGCGTTGGTTGGTGGTGACGAGGAAAGAGAGAGAGAGAGAGAGAGAGAGAGAGAGAGAGAGAGATAGAGAGAGAGAGAAAAAAAAAGAGAATCAAAAGGGAATTCGCACGCGCACTAACGAACATCCCGTTTTCGCAATGGTATACGGTATATATACAGGCTATGATAGTAAGAATAGTGAGAGGGCACAAATCGCGAGCAGCAGCAGAAGAAGAAGAAGGAGAAGAAGAGGCAGCGGAACGGCTCAAGTCACAGCTCGCTCGGCGAATGAATAGTCATTCCAATTTAAGCATAAGATATTGCCTTCTAAACTATTCGAAATGAGACTTTCCTAGACTTGCGAATTGACGAGTAGCAGAGAGTGAGAAAGAGAGAGAGAAGCTCCGCGACTTTTCGCATTGTTGCTGGGAGAGGCCGCCTTGATGCAGAAAAATTTTCATAATTAATCAAAGCTCGATCTATAAACGCGCCACGCGCACCTCGCGACGCATTCTTAAACTCTATAGCCTGACTCTTGACATGTCGGAGCTCGCACCGTGCGTGGCACCGAGATATATAAACATTGTTAGAAAGCTCGCGCATACGTATGCTCGAAGTCTTCCACACGTACTTTGTCTTTCTCTCTCTCCCTCTCTCAAGAGGAAAGGGAGTTTAAGTCAATCTTCGCAGAGTCAATCTTCTATACATCTGCAGGCGCGCGCGCGCCCCTGCGCAAGACTTAATTAATATTAAGTTTGACATGATGACAGACAGCAGCTGCTGTTATATTACTTCAAAGCTTCATTACCATGTGGTTCGTGTCTTTCTTCGTATGTGCGTGTTTCTCTCTCGACCCTGTTATTCTAAGGGGCAAATTGCATTTTCAAAGGCAAATTTTCGCTGCGTAAGTCTGCGCTGCGCTCCGTTTCGCTCCTCTACAGTGTGTATAGCACGAGCTTGCAGCGCGCAAATGACAAGTAAAGCTTACAAGGACTTCCAAATCTGCTAGCCACAAATGCTCTACTGTATGCACATATGCTACGTATACCTTAGGCATACACACGCGAAGCATATTATTTAGGCTTTGATATTGCACACTTAATGGCACGTGTAACATCTTCGAGCCTCTTTGCATTGCGGCGTGATATATTTGCTTTCTTCACAAGGAAAATCTGTGGTAGGCTCGAAAACGAATTTTTTAATTAAGTGTTGTAAAGTAATAAGCTTTTTAGGTCAATTTTTTAAAATAAAAAAAAAAGATTTTTGGTTTTTTGTATGGTTGCAGTAATTTTTTAGAATATATTCACAGTTATTACAAAAGAAGAGAAGTAATTCTTTTCTTTAGGAAAGAATCGTGAAACGTTAAGATATTGTTACTGTTTTTTGCCGAGTCTTACATGTAGACCTTATGAGGTGCGGAACACCAGTTTCTGAAATATTTTTTGGGGTCTTCATTAAGGTTTAATGGTAACAAATAAGAGTACCTAATAATGAAGCTCTCTATGCTTACTTTAATCCAATGGGTCTTATAGACCATTTAAAAAATGATTTTCTGTTCTATAAAAAATCTTTGCGATTTTTCATATTAAAAAAGAATGAGTTTAGAAGAAAAACTCTAGGAACAAAAATGTCTCAAAATTGCTCAAAGAATATTCATATGAAATTGAAAGAAATAGTTATTATATATTATTATTTAAAAAAATTCAATTGTATTCTCTAATTAATTCTAAGATTTGTTATTTTTTCTATTTTGTTTCCTAAAATCCTTTCTTTTCAAGATATAAAATAGCAACAATTTTTTAATAAAAATATATCGTTTTTTTATATGATCACTAATACCAATTGAATCTAAGTAAACGTAAGTGGTTTCATTATTAACCCATTAACGCGCAAAAGTGCAATTTTGTGCATGAATTTTCCGTTGTAAAAAAATTATAGATAAAGTTAAAATATTTTCTTGAAAATCCACACCCAGGGGTTTTTGAGTATGCTCTTTCAGTATCCGGTGTTATTTTTGCGATAAATAAACATTATCATCGCATATTTTGCCATTAAAAACAAAAAAACGTGATTTTTTGACTCAACATTTTTTTTCAAAGTCGATTTTCTACCTTGCCCTGCCTTCGGAGGGCTCCCATAACACCAGAAATCGTGCACTTTTTCTCTGAACCTACGAAAAATGCGCTGCCGCGATTTTTATCTAGCCCCTATATTTCTAAAATGGCGAATTGGGCAAACCCTTTAAATGTGAAATTTGTCACAAATCATTTGGAGTCAAGAGCAATCTCAATCAGCACATAATACCAATACATTATCGAAGCAAATCCTTCGAGTGCGACATTTGTCACAAATCATTTGGACGAAAAGATTCCTTCAAAACTCACATAAAGATAGTACATGATCGTAACAAACTCTTTGAATGTGAAATTTGTCACAAATCATTTGGACAAAAACAACACCTCATACATCACATAAGTGCAGTACACTATCTTAAAAGGCATATAAAGGCAGTGCATGTTTATAGCAGTCCATAGGAGCGTGTGGAATTTGTCTGGAGCCGCAATGAATACATCTACAATCATACGAATGCTCTGCGAATTTTTTTAAAAATGTTCACATAAATATATTTCAATTTTATGAAAAATAAGAGAGTACTATAAACTGTTACTAATTTAGTCGTGACTGTGAATTTATATTGCTCATGCTTTTTACATTAATTAAGATATAAACAATATTTCTAAAGTACCTATATATACCCTTGCTTCGAATAATTAGAATTATTCTTAAACTTATCTTCTTGCCTCTTTGACTGATTTCCATGTAACCATCAATTTTCAATTTTCTTTTAAATTGCGTAGTTAAACATTTTTTTCTATTGACAAGACTAGCTTTTTCAGAGTTCCGGACTAGTTTTCAAGAATACTTTCACATGCAGCTTTATTGAAGAATATTTTAAAAGTGACATTCTAAAAATGAAATATCGTTTTTTTTTAATTTCTTAAATGTTTCTACTTTCTTTTTCAAACATTTATAATTTAAAAGAATAACAGTTTATTTTATCAACATTCATATATTATTGTAAAAATAATCAAACTTTCAATAGAAAGCTCTTTGACAAATGTATTGGCAACGGTTTTTTTCTCAAGTGATAAATATAATGTACTTACACTTTCATTCTGGGCTAAATAACTCCAAGTCTCGAGTAAATAAAAATATTCACAAGAGAATAAATAATTCATCGGGGCAAATTTTTTCATATTAGCCAGTGGAGAACGACGACGACAACGACGAGGACGACAACGACGGGCGAAGAATCTTTAGTATGAAATTCAAAGTAGGCGATGGAAAGAAAAAAGCTACGATATAATAATAATAATGGTATAGCAGAGCCGAGCGACACGAGACGTGCGCACGAGAGAGAAAGGAAGAAAAAAAGAAAGAAAGAAAGAAAAGCTCGAAGGAGTAAAAACAGTCGCTTCGAGCTTTCAATCTGTTGCGGGATATTTTATCCCGCTCGCGCACTCGTCGTCGCTATATATAGATACATGCCTCGAGAGCTGTTGCTGCTGCTGCTATTGATATCCGAAAATGCGATCAAAAGTGTCGTTTCGCTCGCAGATTTTTTTATACCTCGACCGCGCGCATATAAGTACTATATATAGGTTCTCTGGCTTTCTTTTTCCGAGTTATAATTCGCAAAATAAATCCAATAAACCACGTATATGCCGTACACGATTCGCTAAGTCACCGACTGTGTGTGTAGCACTATAAGAGGCGCGCGCGCTTGTCTAGCCGTGCGGTAATGGAAACTGTGTTTTGCATGGTATTCAAGAGTTCACGCAGGACATGTACACACCCACATCCACATGAAAAAATAATACATGTATCTGTGTGGAATATATATTCCAAACGCAGCAAACTCCCTTTTACCCTAACATACATACATACATGCGCGCGAGTCGGGTAAAAACTTTATTCTTCGAACTTTGTACTGAGGCAAGCATCTTTTCAATGTACATATGTATGGCCGTGCGGCGGCGGTGGCTAAAGTGCTCGAGAATAAAAAAAAAGAATGGAAGAAATACTTTAAGACTTTGAGTTTGCAATAAAAATGCATATATCGCGCGTATATACGCTTAGGAGAAGAGGCTGGTGCGCGTGTGTAGGCAACGCCAACTCGCAGTTATACACGCGGTTAGAACGAAGATTTGATACGATTTAAAAAAAATACATGCGACCTTATATGCACAATGAGAGCGCGTAACAAAACAACTGCAACAGCAGCAGCATCAGTGGTAGCAGCAGTGTTAAAAAAAAACGAGATTTTTGGGTCAAAGCCTCGGCGCCGGGTCAGACGGATACGCATCCTTACACACACAACACATGATATTCGTCGAACAAAAGCTTTTTCAAAGTCTTCCTTGCAGGCTGAGACGCGTATGCTGTCGTATACTCTCACTCGAGAGCTCGGTCATTCTCTGCTGCTCGGTATTCACGCGCGCCTCAAGGCTGCCAGCTCCCCGTATACTACTCGGCTCTTATATATATACAGTGTATACATAGAACAGCAACAGCAGCACGTAAAGTGCGACGTACGCTACGGTTGCTGCTGTATACGTATACAATGCAGCGAGGG